GTCCAGTTTTGAAGCCATTATTGATAACCCAAAGCCGATACTACTTCACTAAAGAAAAAGGTAGCACTTTACAATAAAGTCCCATTAGTTAACTTTAATTCATGCATTAACTAACATGAGCAATACATTTTTTTTTTTCAGTATTTATTAATCTTTGTTGACATTAGTTAAAACTGTTCATTGTTAGTTCAAGTTAGCTCAGGTCCATTAAACAATTTAACACAACTTTTGATTTACATATTTTAATAATTTAGTAGTAAATATTGAAATTAACATGTACTAAGATTAGTAAATGCTGAAGAACTATTGGTCATTCTTAGTTAATTAACTAAAGTAGTTAACTAATCAACCTTATTGTAAAGTGTTACCAATATTAATATAAATTCTGTCCAGTTTTATTGTGTTACTTTCAGTAAAAGTGTGGTTATTTTATTGGCTTGTGTTTTTTTTAATTCAGTATCATTAAAATTGAGTTAAATTTAAAAAGTCTTACAAAATTACTTTGTTTTCGGCCAAGTGCATCCAGAATTTTCAGTTTCCGTTTCGGCCCAAACATGTAAGAATACATTTTTTATTTAATTTAATTTAAATTTAACAGTAATTTACTTTCAAATGCCCCAATTGTTGTAGGGTCTTTGAACTTTAAAAATTGAACTTTTTAGTGCAATTTCAAGTTGCACTGTTCAAAATACCTGTAGTAGCACAGCAGTGCATACCTGTTTACATTTAATTAAGGTGGACTAGATTAGACTGTAATACAAATAGTTGAGTTTGCCATTTATGACAGGTTTTCATGAAAGTGTTGGTCAGTTTGTCTGCTTGACAATCCCATTTTGCACTGCAACAATAAAACTGAAGTGAGATAAACAAACTGAGAAATATTTATTTTTAGTTAAAACAGATGTTGTCAAAGTTTTCCTTTGGGGACATAATTTGAAGTTGGAAAAAGGTAATAAATTGCAATATATCTCAATATATTTAAAATCACAATAATATTGTATTGTGACACAAGTATCGTGATAATATCGTATTGTGAGGCCTCTGGTGATTCCCACCCCTACTGTGTTGCGAGATTAATATATAGAGCTACTCTAGTCAGACTTAGCACTGCATCATCGTTTACTTTCAGACTCTCTGAAAAGCCTGCATCAAACTGTCTTGTTTAAAAATGAATCTGTAGCAAAGGAAAGAAAACAAACAGTGTTTCACTGACGCGATCTGGAGCTCTTTGCTAATTTCCCCCAGTGTTTACACAGGACGTGAGCGGTGCAACGTGACTATAGAAAACAGAACCCATTATAATCTGCGATTCTGTCTACACTGGAATCGGCACAGATTGACACAACAAACCCCCGACAGTAAACCGATGGCCCGCTCAAAAAAAGAGCGAAAATATTTACGCTCTGCACAATCTTCGCAAATCTAGTTAGCATTGACAGGACGGTGAGTGTTACATAATCAAATGCCATAATAACACACCATATCCATCACATACTGTAGTTTTAACCTAACTTTGCAACTTAATGTATCTTATAAAGTAATTTGGCTCGGTTTGCGTTATAAACAAAGGGCCGTCACCAGAACTGTCATCACAGCGGGTCTGTCAAAAAAGCAGTTGGAGGGAGATGGGGTTAGCGGTATCCAGCCGCTGTCAAGCCCCACATGACTCAACAGGGGTTTGGTCTATATTAAGCACAGTGAGTCAGAGATGATGATCACATCCGCACACACATCAAGTCAAGCCACAGAGGAATCACATACATACAACCTTCCCAGAAAGCAATGTGGACGAACCATGTTACAGTGATGGCATCAGATGGTAATACCATGGTATTTTAATATAAGCATGGAACTGAACGATTACCATACGTTTTATGATATTATAGATAGAGCCCGACCGATATATCGTTTTGCCGATATTATCTATTCAAACCACGTGTGTTACAACTAACACCCCGTTACTTTGTGCATCGCACTCATCGCAAGTTTATTGTTAAATTGTTAAATGCCCTTACATATCTCTGTCACCATTATAAGTGTTTGATCACCACATTTGAGTGATCATTGCAAAAAATGTGTTTATGTATATATATTCTGTTTATGTATATACTGTATTCTATATATAGTACCATTCAAATGTTTGGACACACGAATGGGAAAGTGTCCAAACTTTTGACTGGTACTGTACTATAATATACACAAAGAATATCGGCCGATATATCGGTATCGGCCTTTTTTTTACTCCCTAATATCGGTATCGGCCCCAAAAAAACCATATCGGTCGGGTTCTAATTATAGATATACATAGAAACATAATAATTCCATTGTACATTTCCAAAAAATGATGGCTGTACAAGAATACATTGTATTATTGTGGTAAATATCTAATGCTATTTATGGTATTATAAATGCACATGGTATTACTGTGATAAATGTCCAAAACAGTGTTATTATAATTGTACATGTACAAGAAAATACGGTATTGCTGTGGTAAATATCCAAAAAAGGGTTTGTATAACTGTACATGTACAACACAACATGGTGTTACTGTGGTAAATGTCTAAAAACACAGTACCATTGCACCATTGCATATATCCAAAATACATGGTGTTACTCTGGTGACATTTCCAAAGCCATTGTATAACATGGTTTAGGGTCCCACTTTATATTAAGTGGTCCTAATACCTGTGTACTTACATAGTAACTAGATGTGTATGTAGTATGTAACCATAGTGTAAGTACACATTGGTACATAGTATCTAGAGCTGCAATATTTATGTAACTACACACATGTAACAACCCTATGAATGGTTTGTGTAAGTACAAATGTGTAACAGGACATATATAACTACATTTTGTAACAACAATATGTATAAGAGTAACTGGAACAATTTGATCCAGGGGGTGGAGATGGGTAGGTTTAGGGATATGTAAAGTGGGAGGAGTTGGATCTCAAGTTGGTGGAGTTGGTGCACCACTGTAATACCAGTGTACTTACATGGTAACTCCTCAGGAACTGTCCACTTAATATAAAGTGTAACATTCTGGACACCAAACACAATTTATATGTACAGCTTAACTTACTGGCCGCTGCTGTGTAACATCAGAGTAATTACATGGTAAATCCATAAGAATTGTTTGCTTAATATAAAATGTAAGACTTTCTTTACCAAAAAGTGCTGTTAGTCCTGTTACACATTTGTACTTTCATTACCAAAAAGTGTTGTTACCAACGTCCTGTTACACATTTGTATTTACACATACCAACTATGGTTGTTACATAGTTACACAAACATTACAGCTGTAGATACTATGTACCAATGTGTACTTACACTGTGGTTACATACTATATACAAATCTAGTTACTATGTAAGTACACAGGTATTAGGGCCACTTAATATAAAGTGGGACCAAAAAGACAATGTACAAAAACATAGCATTACCACTGTATCGATCCAAAAACCACGATATTACTGTAGTAAATGTCCAAAACCACTGGATTATAATTGTACATGTGCCGAAAATTATAGTATTACTGTGGTAAATGTCCTAAAAACATGGTATTATTTGGCTACACCAGTAACCACAGTTTACTACGGTATTTATAGTGTGGAATTATACAATATAGTGAAATTTAAACTACCACAATGACCAATCTGTCAAAATAGTTTAACTACAGTAACACCATGGATAATTGTTCAAAAACATGGTATTTCCACCCAAAATGATACTGATAACAATAAAAATGACTGTGATGTTACCATGTAACAGTGACAGAATTTGATGGTAATATCATGGTACTTTGATAATATCATGGTACTTTGATACTTTGATATACCGAATGATAGAGAATACTATATTTTTACCATGGCAGATGTCCAACCATCATATTAAATTAAAATTCAGTCATCCGAACTGCCAACAAGATGGCACTGTGCCTACAACACACGCACACGCATAGAGTTTAGCATCAAACTTCAATGCTGCCAAGTCAAACTTTGCTTTAGTGGCAAATTCAAGCTACATGAACTCTCGGATTCATCACTACAACCTGAAACAACACTACATTAGCAGATGAATAAATATAATGTAATAAAAAACCAACCAGCGTAACTCAAACAAAAAAAAGAAGTGTGAATCCGTATTTAGAAAGGCACGGAAAAACAAATGGAAAACAAATAACGATTGCTAACGGTTGACTGTTACACTTCAGTACATAAAATTTCACTTACCACATAAACAGAGTAAGGGGAGATGACTGAAGACCATGGCGAATGATTTGCAGATCCTGAGCACCACTGACAAACATCAATCTTGTAAAATGTGTGGTAAGTACTGCTGCTCCACAGTATAAATACAGTGCGTGCGATCACAAATCTCGAAAGTGAAAGTGAAACTAAAAAGCGATCGCACATTCAAAAGCAGTTTCAATGCCAGGCATAATAGCGGCTCCCTGATGCCCGCAATTTATATACAGTATAATTGCCCAATGATATAACTGCGAGAGAAAATACTGAAATATATATTTTCCTCCCATCGCGTATTTATTCCCTTAGGGGTTCCGTATTACATGTAATTTTCTTTCCGAACACGGTATTGGGATGCGGCGGATTGTGCGGGGGTGGGGCTGTTGGGGGATGGGGATCGCAATGCCGGCTCAACATCGTGATGTCTATCAGCCATCGGCGATGGACGTCTATCGGCCCAACCCTATTACCACGCCCTTTTTTCGAACAAATACTATTTGTTTTCTTCCACGGTCCTTAATATTGGAGATGAAAGAAAATCAATGGGATCCAATAAAGAAGGGAGGAACTGAGAAAGTAAACCATGTGTGTGTGTGTGTGTGTGATGCATGTGATGTGTAAAGAGTGCTGTGTTTACTCTGAGGTCTGCAGAGGGCCGTGGACTTTGGAAATGGGTGACGGTCAAGGAGAAACAGAATGGCTCATTAGGAAGATTATCAGAAAATACTTCAATACGAGAAAGAACATCTGTACCTGCCACATTGACTTTTTCTGGTTTGACGGGGTTCGGTCCAGGGGTCCCGGTTCCATTGGTCAGGTTGGTACTGGTTCCGTTGTACATGATATTGTCCACTTTAGACTCTAGCTTTGATAATCTCTGCATTATATTATCCAGAAGAACAGCTAGAGTCTTCTTCAGGTCTGCACAATATAACAGAGAAATGTATATAAATAAATATAATTATTAAATACAATAATTGCAACTTTTAAAAAATGTTATATAATTTAGACTACACAAAATAAATTGTATAGCTTATATTACAGTAAAGTAAAAAATTATATATATGCATTAAATGTCTTCATTTTATACACATTATAAATACAATTATATATAATAATACAATTATATATATATATATATATATATATATATATATACACAAATATCAAAAGAAGCTAATTCG